ATTGAAGAAAAGACACGATCCATAACGCGATAGAGACGATAAAGCGGTATAAGCTTAACTTTCTTCACGGGAGGAGGAGAAGGGTGCATCAATCGAAGATGGTGGTAATAAAAAGATACGAGTATATGCTTTTAACATCATTCTTTGCCACTTTGCCAGCTCGTGTCGCTCGCCTCTCACGTAAGAATCATAAAACAAAGCACCGCAAATGAGAAAACTTGGCGACTCCTCGATGCTCTAGTAAATTTTACTTTGCAAGTAATACCGGTTTCTTCACTGCGACCCCCGTGAGATTTGAGAGAACTTCTTTCTTTCGGTGCTAAAGAAACCGGATGTGACGTGCAGCTTCCGTGCTGTGGCGCAACACCGAATAGAGTTCCACGGAATAGAGTTCGGAATTGCTACAGAACGATCTCCGAGGTTCACGATTATTTGTTCCACTCTGATCAAATCTGTCGTACCTCTCGGCGAATAGAGATATTCCCGTTTGAGACCTTAAATAACGAGCAAATAATTTATATTTAAATAATAAATTTAAATAATTTACATAATTATTCAAATAATAAGTAATTTATGAGTAAATTATTTTCGTGACAAGCGAGTTACTTTTGCCACGGTGAACATCTTCCATTTGTTAATTTATAAACGAATATAAATATTCTCGAATTAAATGTTCAATTTTCCAAGTATAAGTAAATTATCAATGTAACGCTCACGATGAACAGGATGAAGCAATTTAATTTATTGCATTAATTGTATTTATTCGAGTATTACGTATTCAATTTATTGCAGTAAATTATAAACAAACAAACAAGAGTTCTCGTTGAATTTTCAATCTTTTAATTGTAATATAATACTTACAATTTTAAAACCTAAAACACAGGGTAATTTAATTTATTGTACTACTTTGCATGTAATGAAACATCGTCCTCGTTGAATTTTCAATTTTCTAAATGTACAATGAACAGAGGTGAACAATTCAATTTATTATATTTACATAAGTATATAACAAATCGTGTTCTCGTGTTGAATTTTCAATTCTCTAAACATAAGTCACGAACATAATTATTTACCACGAACAGAAGGGAGCAATTTAATTTACTGCATCACTTGTACATCTGCTGAAGTACATTCGATTCACACTGTAACAAGCCGGGATATTGAAATTTTTGATTTTCTAAATTACGAACACGATACTCGAAATGCAATTCCACCTTCGACTGCAAGTAAAATCGATCCCTCTTTCTTCCTCTTCAAAATCTAACCTAAAACCTGAAACCTGAAACCTGAAACCTAAAACCTACAACCTAGAACCTAGAATTTAGAAACTAGAACCTAAAACCTAAAACCTAAAACCTAAAACCTAAAACCTAAAACCTAAAACCTAGAAGCTAAAACCTAAAACCTAAAACCTAGAACCTAGAACCTAAAACCTAGAACCTAAAACCTAAAACCTAAAACCTAAAACCTAGAACCTAGAACCTAGAACGTAGAACCTAGAACCTAAAACCTAAAACCTAAAATCTAAAACCTAAAATCTAAAACCAAGAACCTAGAACTTAAAACCTAAAACCTAGAACCTAAAACCTAAAACCTAGAACCTAGAACCTAGAACCTAGAACCCAGAACCTAGAACCTAGATTCTAGAACCTAGAACCTAAAACCTAAAACCTAGAACCTAGAACCTAGAACCTAAAACCTGAAACCTGAAACCTGAAACCTGAAACCTAAAACCTAAAACCTAAAACCTAAAACCTAAAACCTAAAACCTAAAA